CTGCGAGGTGAGAGCCTCTGCCCCCCTCCCCTCAACCTCCCTGGCCGGGGCCCTCCTGCCGGAGCGGGGCTTCCAGTCGCTGGGCTTCTAGCTCGGCTGCCTTTTCCTCCAGTCTGTCGTCGAGAGGAACGTTTATGAGTTGTTTGTAGTCCTTTTGCCTTTTGTTCCACTCACGCCTCTGCTGCCTGTCGTCTTTTTTCCCTTCCCATGTTCTTTTCCACTTTCCCGTCTGTCTATCCGTGCTTGCTCCTGTCTGTGTCCCTACCTCTTAAGGTACGTCCTTATTCTGATCTCCGTCCTGGTTATGCCCCCCAGCACACATACCTCTTGCCTTCCTTTCTTCTGGAGCACAGAGCTCTCTGCCCCCCAGTTCTGGCAGCTTTCGGTGCAAGAGACTCTCCTGAGTAGATTCTGGATACGTGTGGCTTTTCTGATCAGGTCTTTGGAGAGTTGGAGCAGAACACTTGTCTTTCTCTTCTTTTCAGCATTCTCTGTCTGATAGAAGAAGTGGTTAGGATGGCATTCACACTTAGAGTGGGGCTGTTGGGAGGGTGTTTTATTTGATGTTGCTTTTCTACGATATTGCACTGTGCCTTGGAGCTGCCCTTGATTGCTAAGAGCTGCCTGTTGATGCAGAACTGGTGACCAGGGCCATAGTTTGAAGCATAAGCAGGAGCACATCAGATGAGCATTTGGAGTGTCGCTCTAAGCTTACCGTGTTAAATCTGTGCTGAGCTGGCCCTGTATAGGGGTGATTTGACACAGCAGAGAAAATGGATGGGGACTTGTTTGGATCCAAGGTTGTGGGAGCACATGCGAGAAATCCCCCTTCCTTTTCAGAGGAGCTTAAAATGTCAGCATGAAATTGTGAGGATTTTAAACGTAGGATTTGTTTGAGTGTCAGACAAAATCTTTATCCTTATAAAGCTGCAGGAAAAGTAAACCATATTTAGAAAATAATGCTGCTTCTAAAATGGGAATTTTCTGAAGTGCTAGTACTGTTACTGGCTGGCACAGCATCAGCAGAGGTGTCAAAATGAACTTGATTTTAAGGAGGGACTTGTAAACTAGGCTATTGTGTGTCCTGTATGTCTTCACTCTGATTTTCATGTGCATTCAAAAATCATTTGCTATAATGATTTCACTATCTTCAGCTGTCTTGCACCAAAATAAATCCCTCTAGATCATCACAGTGTTTTACTTGGATGCAAGTCAGACTTGCAGAGATTATGGAATAGAGCATGTTTTCTTTTCAGCAGATTTTATTGGGAGAGTGTTCAATGAAATAAGTCACTTCATAATGAGACCAGAATGGGCAGGAAAAAATATCAATTATAATTACGTGTTATGCGTGAGCTGGCACTGCTCTGTTTTGAGTCTTCAGTGGTGTGTTTAGTTGTCCATTGCTGAGATATGTAAATTCCTAGGAAAGGAACTGCTTCACATGAAGAAGGTTGAGTCCTTTTATAAAAATTCTTATCTAATAGACTGTTCAGATGCTCCCTTCATAGTAGTTCTTGCCAAGAAGGAACCTCCTGCATGCACTTTTAACTGTCGTGAAAAATAGTGGTGTTTGAACATGAGGTGAATGTGAGAGCGACTTTGTCGTGACCTGACATAAGTTGCTAACTGTTTTATCTCCATCATGGTTTATGCAATAGTACTCAAAACGGATTATCCACACTAGGACTGATTTTGGTGCTGGTTTCTGATCCATTTTGAACCTGAAGGCAGAGCTTAATAAGATGTGATTTGTGTAAGGTCATAGTATTCGCAAATGGAAAGAAGGTCCATCAGACGCGCTTTTTTTTTTTTTTGTAGGATTGATTTTGGGTGGAGAAATGTTGCTTATTATTATTCTTTTTTCTAGCCTTTTTTTTTTTTTTTGCTTTTAAGCCTATATATGTATTTTCACCTTGTTCAGCTGAGCAAGGAGCTGAACCAAGAGGAATTGGCTTTTGGTGAAGCTGCAGGCTGTGCTGGGCAGAACAAGTGCAGCTGAGCCTTTAGTGGCTTTAGCGTCAGGCAGATGTTGCCAGAGAAGATGTTCTGGCCCCGCTCTGATATGCGGATCCCTTGCTTGTCCTGCTGCCTAAAAGCAATGTATGGTGGGCTAGAATAACCAGTTTGGGAGCTGCTGCACATCCATAGCTTGAACTTTTAATTTCTGCTTTCAGGCTGAAAGATCAGGCACACCTTTGACATGGTAACTTTATGCATCCTTTCAACTAGTGTGGTTCTCTTTACACTACTGGGTGTGAGCTTATTAAGTGTGCACTGTATGGAGAATGGTGCAAAGTTACACGTTCTTGTGGTGCGAGAAAACAAAAAGAAATATTTTCAATAATGGCTATGGACCAAGCTGCCTCTTGCTGTTTGAGACTGTCGGTGTACACTGGTAGTATTCTATTTTTAGCTGTAAAATGAAAAGACTTGGTTTCATGTTCTAGGAATGTTCGGAGTGGATTTATCCCTGTGGTTACTATTCACAGTTTCTGTTGATTTCTGACCTGCTTACATTTAGTGTTTATAGGTAAGCGTAGCTAAAGTTACTATAGTAGACAGATACTTTTCTGTCTTTTTCATGAGAATTTTGCCATTAATTCATAGGCACAGTAGATGCCTAGGTGTGACTTTTGTGCTGTGGAGGTACTGCAGGGTGCTGTACTTGCCTGCTGCAGGTAACCAACCTTCTCTGAAGAATGCGATTGCTTCAGGCTGCACAGCAAAAGGGCAGATTTCAAGCCTGAAATTAATATAGGGCACTAGACGGACTACTGGGGTTTTAATACTGGAAAGAGCACTCAATAGTTCTTTTGACCTTTCACGGATAACCATGAGGATGTTTTAAGACTAGAAAATGGAATACTCGGTTTTATTTCAAGATGACTAGAGGAAAGTTGGCATAGATTTATTTAATGAAATGCCATTTTACTAGACAGTATTCAACAAGAGGGATTAATCCTTTGGTTATCAAAAGTGGTAGTGTTACCGTGGCTAAAGAAGTTGCCATTCATCCACTGAGGGCTATTGAATGACAGCTTACGCTTTTCTTGCTGTCAGTTGTGAAATAAAAATGCAGAGAGTATTTAAGGTAATGAATTTTGGTAATTGCAACTATCGGGGAGACTGTAACTGCAGTTACTAAGTGAATAGAAAGTCAGTTAATTCAGGCTATCTGTATTTTAGGTTCTTCTTAGTGGCTTCTTTTCAGATTCTACCATGAGTCTCTGTGAAGTAGCTTTAGGCCCTCTTGTAGATCTCTTCAGCAAACATCCCAGATGCTGAGGGGAGAGGAAGGAATGAATATTCAACTCTGTTAAGAAGAAAGTCATCAAAAGTTTTTACAGTTAAGAGCAAAGTCCATTTCCAGAGCCAGGCTGGAAACGTAATCTGCCCCTTAGAGCTGTCACCTGGTCACTCATGTGCATCAATACTAAGGAGTGTGTGGGATCTTTTGTGAAAGATTTTCTTAGCTATCGTTAAACGGAAGTATCAAATATCATTTCCAGTCACTCATTAATTGTTAACGTTCACAAAGAATGCATGATATTTTTACTGAGTTAAACTAGTGCAGGCTCCGATTGTAACTTACTAATAAATGTGAACTAAGGATTTTGAGACTGTGTTTTGTCATTCTTTTGGGATAAAGCATCTTTGCTTGTGGGTCTCTCCTTCCAGCCCCATTTTTTGCCCAGCATCTAAATTTCTGTGAGGGCAGAACTGTTAGTGATATGTATCTTGACTTCAGCACTTTCAGAACTTAAGACTTTTGCATAAATCTCAATGACTTTATCAACATTCTGTACCTTATAAACTTGGCCTTATGATTAGGTAGATATGTATAATATATTTGTACTTACATATACACATATACTAGGTGTGTGTGTATATATGTATATAACATTTTATGTATGTGTAAACAGAAAGATTTTAATTTCTTGTGTTACCTAACAGGCTAGGTTAGCTAGACTTCTTATTGTAAGATGAAATTTTATCTGGTGGTTTTTTTTTTTATTTGCATTTGATCATCATTTTTTGACAACGCTTCTGAGTTCCTATACTCTTTGGGTAAGCTGTTTGTGCTGCAGGCAGATTTGTTTGATAAATGAAAGAGTACCTAGATTCTGTCAAAAAGTCGATGAATAAAAATTTATATGAGGAATGAATGGAAAATGATTGATCAAAGCTGGAAACAAAATGTTTTTGGTGCTTGCAGTAGATGTCAAATCCAGCACTGCTTACCACCACTAATCTTGATAAATCTAAACCAATATTGTAGGAAGACAAAAAGGGGAGTAATGTACATATGTTCTAAAAAAGTAGCAACTAATGAAAGCTTCAAGCTAGCTGACGAGCAAATCTAGAGTTCATTTAACACAAAGATCATTATATGATCTCTGGTGCTGGGTTTGGTGGGGTTGTTTGTTTGTTTTTGTTTTCTTCCCATGTAACTTTCTGTTCCTTGCTGACTGACTCCTAACAAGTCTAATATGACAGAATTCGAGCTTGCAAGCTAGCTGCACACCACATTTCTTATTGGTGAGTAATGTGCTGAGAGCCGGGACTCGTCTCTCTCGCCAGCTTAGCTCACTGCCTGTTCCAGCCTTTTCTTCCTCTCTTCCGTAATGTTTTCCTGCCTTATTATGAGGGTTGCTAGTGCAACGTAGTGCAGTGTTAGAGGCTGAATTTGTTGAGTTCTTTATTATTAGTGAGTCTGTAAATGTTCTTGGTTTTGTGTTTCTGTCTTCAAGAATGACCTAATGGTGAGGATTTGGCATTCTGTGTAGTAAAGTTTCAGTCTTTATCTGTAAATTTTCAGACTTCACCTTAAAGAACAGCTTTGAAAAAGCTTTCTTCTCTTGAGGGCTGACACTGGTGAAGGTTGTAAGTTACTAATTAAGGTGTGTGAACAGAGGTTAATGCTAAGACTATTAGTGTATGCTGTGCCCATGCAGGAGAAGTCTCCTGGTTGACTTTGTGGTTAGGTCACAACTTAAAAATGTAGTAGCTGAAAGGCTTCTAAAAAGAACTAACACCACCACCACCACCCCTTTTTTTTTTTTCCCCCTGAATAAGCTCCTATTTACAGGTAGAGGGAAGAGCTTCCTTATTCCTGTCCCTTTGTTAGCAAATGAAGTTCTGCAGCAGGCAAGGTAGCCCTTTGTATGTCTTAGTCTGACAGCAGTTGTTGCAAAGCTTTTGCTGTTAGCTTTATAATGTGTTTTGGCTATCCCTTCTTGGTGTTCCATTTGACTTCAAATTACTGTGGTATGTTTGATGGATCAAAGATTATTTTTTTTCCTAGGGAATATGAGGTTACTTCATTTCCATCTGCCAAGAACTTAAAGGACATTTTAAAAGATTGGCTGTTTAAAATACCTGAAAAGGAAGAGGGTGGAAATTTGGTGCACTTTGCTAAGAGTGAATTTTTATTTTTAAATGCTTTCTCTCCCACCATAAACTAAGGTCAAATCACCTAGCATGGTTTAGGCTTAAATGAAGAGAAGTTCCTTGAAGGCAGCAGTTTCGGTCTGAGCATCAGCAGCTGTTCCCAGCTTTTTTCTGTTCTGTATTATGCAGGGGAAATAAGTATGGTCATTACTAACTGCTTTCTGTTCTCAGGTGGTTGTTTCTTTTAGAGTCCATTTAAAAGATCCTTTTGCTTTTCCGTTACCCTTTTGGAAGGGATCGCCAAAGTTCAATAACTTCTCTTATGCTGTCTTCTTGAGAACGTCAAGTATAATACAAAGCTAGTAACAGGCAGCAGTAGTTCACCTAATGCAGATGCCAAGTTTGACGGCTAGGCGGCGGTTGCTCATTTAAACTGCTGCTAATGTTGCAATGAATACCCTTGCGCAGGGAAAGAAATCATGTAGAAATACTCACCAAGATCCCTGCTGTGTCTCTGTTGGGCATGCCTTGCCTATTAGGAGAGGAAAATTATGATTTGATTTCTTTAAAAATATGTTTGACTGACATAACCTCCTTTCAAGTAGAAAGTTAGTTAAGACTACTAATAAAGGTTTGGTACTGTGTGCATTTTCATTCATCTAACAATGCTTTTCATACTTTAAAAGACCCAAACCACGGCATTTCTTGAAGGATGGCTATCTGTGCATGTCTTTGTATTGTTGTATCTGTTTTCATATTGTGGTTTTAAGTGACAGCACTTCTGGCAAATCTTCAGCACATTCTGTTAGAGTTCTGCTGAGCTATTACTAAATTATTATGGTATCTCATGAATAGCTAATACTGCCTTGGGGCCTGTTCAGCCTACGGAAGAGCAGTGGACAACAGAATAACCATGAGCCAGCAATGTGCCCTGGTGGCCAAGAAGGCCAATGGCATCCTGGGGTGCATCAAGAAGAGTGTGGCCAGCAGATTGAGAGAGGTCATCCTTCCCCTCTACTCTGCCCTGGTGGGGCCATTGTGTCTTATTCTGGGCTCCCCGGTTCAAGAAGGACAGGGAACTGCTAGAGAGGGTACAGCAAATGGCTGTGAAGATGATTAGGGGACTGGAACATTTCTTATGAGGAAAGGCTGAGGGACTTGGGTATTTTTAGTCTGCAGAAGAGAAGACTGAGGGGGGATCTTATCAATGCTTATAAATACTTAAAGGGAGGGTGCCGGGGGGTGGGAACAGTCTTTTTTCAGTGGTGCCTAGTGATAGGACAAGGTAATGGGCACAAACTTGAATATAGGAAGTTCCATCTTAACATGAGGGGGAACTTCTTTACTTTGCAGGTGGCAGAGCACTGAAACAGGCTACCCAGAGAGAGAGGTTGTGGAGTCTCCCACACTGGAGACATTCAAAACCACCTGGATGCCCTCCTATGCAACTAGCTGTAGGTGTCCCTGCTCTGGCAGGGGGCTTGGTCTAGATGATCTCCAGAGGTCCCTTCCAACCCTGACGATTCTGTGAAGAATAAGTTGTTCCTCCTTGAACTTAGATCAGTTTAAAATCCATAGAAGAACCTGTAGCAGACACGACATAGGTTAAAAAGCCACTTAACTTATTATGTCATTTGTGTATCTAGTATCACACATATGTACATCGTTATATATGTTTTTCTTTTAAGGTCTGTGGGGGACAAGACTTATGGAAGAAAGCAACACGAGCAGAGAGCGATATCTGAAAAGTGTTTTACGGGAATTGGTTACGTACATGATTTTCCTTGTGGTCTTGTGTGTCTGTAAGTACTGTGCAGCTTTAATGCATCCGATTCTATAGTATCTGCTGGCTGGCTGTGATTCCAGAATGAAGGTTGTTTCAGTGATGTGGAAGAAATATTAATGGGCAGACGTGTGGACAAATATTTGGAATTAAATCTTTCTTTTGTTTCTGCGCATGGATTGTTGCTTGAGATTGAAAATACTGCAACTTACTGCACCTTAACAAGTGTTGAACACTTAAGCAGGGTGATAATATATTTATTCTTTGTTTTTAGGGAGCATTTTTTTAATGTAGTACCACATTGCAGTGTAATGTTTCTCCTATGCTTTTTGAAATCACCAAACAGAACTGTTAAATGTGAAGAGTAGGAGTTAGTCATGCAGGACAAAAAATTAAATCAGTGAGTTTCAAATTTATCACCAAGCTTATGTACAGATCATTCTAAGAATAAAAGTTCTTGATAATGGTTGGAAAGGCAGAGATAATGCTAGCTACTTAGTTTAAATATCTGATAATCTGTGTTTACATGATGCTGGATGTTTTAAACACGTCTGCAGCCTATATATACTCAAGTGTATATGGATCACAGCTGGAGACTTCCATGAATTAAGTGTGTCACTTGTTTTGTTGTCTATGATATATGAAGTATCATAACACTATAAAACACAGAAGAGAGTAACAGTCAACCTACTTTTTAAAAATTATTATCATCATTATTATTTTATTTTATTTGGCTTTTAAGTAGGTGACTGCTTTAAGGTAGGTGCTCTAGAATCAACACTGAAGATAATATTAGCAGATTCTACTAAATACAGACTTAGAACAGAAGTGAGGAGCTTGATGGATCTCCAGCCTCATAAACAGTAATATTCCTGGACCCAAACGGAGTTTAAAAAAGCAGCCTGAACTGAATTTGTGGTTCTTTTCTTAGGGTGAAGAACCTTAGTGGTGGAGCACAGATAGTACAGGATGTTTATCACAGGCCTCACACAGCAGCATGAACAGTAGTGTCTGATATAACATACCAGTTCTGAGAGCAGTTGTCTTTTCTGGCCTTGGGAACTTGAAGCCCTTATACAGTTCTATTTCAAGATTTCTAGTTTTTTTCCAGTTAATAGTCAAAACAAGGCATGTTCATATATTTGCATAAAAATAAGCAAGACAGTGCAAAATACAACTTACTACAGAGTTGTGAAATAGATGTTTTATTTGGTTACTAGGGACAATAACAACAGAAACTATGCATTAAGTTAATGTTTGGAAAGCTGATACATTTCAAGCCTCCAATTTATAGTGTGGGCAGTTCTGTTCTAAATATCCCAAATGTCGGTGACAATTAAGTTGCTGTTTATGATCAGTTGTAACAGAAGAAGGTGATGTTTTTATTATTTGTCAGACAGAATCTTGGAGTGGCAAAGAAAACGCAAAACTACACTGGTAGATTGGCTCTGTGAGAGCAAGTCTGCCCTGCTTGTCTGGAGTAGAATTACTTAAAAAAAACCCCAAACCTCAAACTTTATACCATTTACACAACTGTTTTGGTGTTGTACTGCAAGCATGGTTATATACTAAATATCATGGTTTTTTTTCCTTCCTGAATCCATTAAGAATGCTTACTGCAGGTTTATGGACAAAGTAGCGTAAGACTGCTTGTGGCTGGTATGCTGTACCAGCAGGAGACGTGACCAACGAGGGACTTGAAATTAAAATAAAGTGAAATTGGTTTCAGCAGGCAAAGTTTGACTGTAGGCTGTTAACAATATGTTTTTCTATAGGAAAAAAAAAATTGTTAATAGAATAAAGGAAAAGTATAGTGTGTTAAATATCTACAGATATTGTGAACTCAGTAGTATTTTTTTTTTAAGTACTACCCTTTTTAATTTCAACATTTAAGCAATAACTGTGGGACAGACTGGTCTGTGGCTTGGCATGCCCTAGGAGAGAGTTTTCCTAGGAGCAGGGTAAATGCTATGGGCGTTTCTTGTACTCTTGTATTTTCGAGAGTACATATTTAGAGAGAATCCAGCTATTGTGTGGTCCTGTGATACATTCCATGTGCAATAGCAGAAGTCTATTAAAAGTAGTTCTGGTTCTCCAGTGTCTAAAGAAAACTACATTTTCTTTCCTGTGATAAAATATTTTTATAAAATTATCAAAACTGATGGAGATTGTTCAGTGTAGACTAAATCTTTCAGGCTTCTCTGAGTTTTAGGTATAAAATGGTTTTAAGTATTTATAGGCAGTAACAGTATCAGTGCCAGAGACTGTTCTCCCAAGCCATCTTGGCTTTGTACATCATTTTATAATTTATGCTCTGTGGTCCTCGGCCAAATGCTTGGCCCAGTGTGAGGAAAAGAAGTAACACAAAGTCATTTATTTTCTGTGGGGAGATTCTCCTAGAAACACTGCATGTCTTGGGTGGAGTGTCGTTGTCGTAGGTGGCTAATGTCATTCACAGTGCCCTGCGATATTCTGGTTGACCGTCATTGTCTGCTCAAGCAGGTCATAGTTCTCCTGAGGTCTTGTGCCATTTGTGTCAGCCTTCTATGGATACCTTGGATAGCACAAGTCACCTGAGAAGGCACCAGCTGCCTCTCTTCAGCCTGCTGAATCATGCCTTTGTTTTTCTTGAAGTTAGCTTTTATAAAAGCACTAATAATAGAATGAGGTGTGGGAAGGAGAACTCAGTATTTTAAACTGATTGATCAGTCTATTCACTGCTTTTTGTATTTTAATCACAGTTGACAGACAAATGCTGCTTGGTGTGTATTTTGTTTTGTTCTGAAGCTTAAACTTTGCAGTGCAAAATCTATACAAACACAACCTGATGTATTCAAACCAAAACACGTAAAATACTCTTTCTCTTTTTTCTTTTGTTTTTTTCTTCTCCTTTTTTTTCTTCCCTTTCTCCAACCCCTTTACCTCTCACTACTTGCCAAATCTTTTGCAGTGACTTATGGGACAGTGAGTTCCAGTATGTACTATTACACAAGGGTTATGTCGCAGCTCTTCCTGGAAACACCTGTATCAAAAATGGAGAAAACTGATTTCAAAACTTTGTCCACAATGGATGACTTCTGGAAGGTAGTCTAAAAGCAATTTTTTGTCTTTGTTGCAGTGATTTGCTTGTCCTGTCATGGCCTGTAAATTTAACCTGCAGGATCTTTTTTCTAATGTGGTAGGGGTTGTGCATGAAGATCTGTGTGGACAATGTCAAAGCCATGGAACAAAATAGGCCCTTAATAGGTGAAAGTTTAGAACCCAGGTTATGCTAGTGGGGCAGGGTAGCGCAAGGTTGCAGAATGTCTTTGGAGGACAGGTAACAGTAAGGCCTTGTGTGAGAAAAATTATCAACTGCAATTCTAACAAATACGTGGAATGAAGACCTATAAAACCAGCGCTGGAAACATGCAAGCTAAAATTCTGTCTTCCTCTTCAGTTCACAGAAGGCCCTTTGCTGGATGGTCTTTACTGGGAGATGTGGTACAACAATAAAACCATGGCAGAAAACAAAAGCTTCATTTATTATGAGAACCTGCTCCTTGGGGTGCCTCGCATTCGGCAGCTGAAAGTGAGGAATGGTTCATGCTCTATACCTGAGGATTTAAAGGATGAAATCAAAGACTGCTATGATGTCTATTCTGTAGCTAATGAAGATACTGCTCCTTTTGGACTTCGGAATGGAACAGCGTACGTAGTATTCCTGTAGACACTTTGCTTCCCATGCCCTGACCTGGGTTATGCTGAATTATACAGTAAGTCACTTGGCAAAGGCAACTCTGCATTTGCTGTGTGTTCTGTCTGTAAAGCCAGGTAAATCCAGAGCAGTTGCGAGTTCTGCTCATGGAGAAACCTTTCTGAACTTGGAGAGGACTGTGCTCTTACTCCACTGGAGTTTAGGTGCTGTCATTGTGCCTTCGGTAGCTGTTATGCTTGGGAGACACGCTAGGCTGAGTGCAGAACTGCAACTCATGAGTGCCCGTTCTGTAATTCCAGATTGTGTTACTTCAGTGAGTTTCACCGAATTGTCTTCCCTGGCTAAAAATGGGAATAGCACTGCCTCTCTTGGAGGACAATGTGTGAGTTGAACTGTAAAAGGTGTTGAAGATGGAACATAACTATATAATTGCCAATTTAGTTTCTTTCCCTGAGGACAGAAATTCTGTGTGAGTGGATTGATGTGTTCTCTTTTCACAATTAATATACTTGTGACCCATCTTTCTATCTCTATTTTGTTGTGTTAGTCAAAGGAACTTTGTAAGCTCTTTCTCCAGGGTATATTCAAACTTTCTACAAGTATCTCTTAAATTAAAGCAGCTTTAAGTAACTGATAGGGGTTTTTTTTGGTCAGGTTTTGTTGGTGTCTGTTTTGTTGATTGTTAGTTGAAAGTAGAAAGACTAATGTGCTGTGTTTCACTTCTGAACTAGTTGGACGTACACCAATGAGAAGGATTTGAATGGGAGCAGCCATTGGGGCTTGATTGCCACATACAGTGGGGCTGGTTATTACCAAGACCTCTCAAGGACCAGAGAAGTAACAGCTGTGCAGATCGCTAGCCTTAAGGAGAACCTGTGGCTGGACAGAGGGACCAGAGCAGCTTTCATTGATTTCTCAGTATACAATGCAAACATCAACCTATTCTGTGTGGTCAGGTATGAACAGAACCATGACAGTGTTCAAATTGCATGGTGTAGGATGTAGACTTGAGGTTTTCTTGTGATTGCTTTGTTTTGAGGACATGGGTAAGCATATGTTTTATATAAAGGAGACGGGCAGCTGAAGTGGCGTGTTTCCCTGTCAAAGAAGTGAGACTCCACATGGCAACTGCGTTCACCATCTGGAGGCAGTTCTGACTTTCCTGATGCCACAATACAGTTTGCAGGTGCAGTTTGCAGGCAACTTCTCTAGAGAGTTGGCTTATTAAAGTAAATACATGCATATACAACATCAGTCTTCAGTTTAGACAGCATGAAACAGGTGCAGATGAAGACAGGTCTTCCTGTTTTCTCACTGTTCCTGAAGTGCCTTGGGTTTTAGTCAAAATTCAGAGCGGCCAGGTTTACACTTTCTCTTCTGTGTAGTGTCTTCTCTGAATCATATGTGGGCTTTTGCCTGTTTCCATTATTTAAATAATTATGTAAATAACCCCGTGTATCTTTTAGTAGTGCTTTTCATCATTGCTGTGTAAATAAATTTTTTTTTTCTTTGCCTTTTTTTAAATGCAGGTTGTTAGTGGAGTTTCCAGCGACTGGAGGCCTTGTTACATCTTGGCAGTTTCAGCCAGTGAGGCTGATTCACTACATCTCTACTTTTGATTTTTTCCTGGCAGCCTGTGAAATGGCATTTTGTCTTTTTGTTCTTTATTATATGGTGGAAGAGATCTTAGAAATTCACATTCATAGACTGCATTACTTCAGAAGTCTCTGGAATTGCCTTGATATCCTTATCATTGTGGTGAGTAATCTTTATAACAAGGCTAAAATTGCTTTCTGAAATGCACTTTGTGGGAGATGTTAATGACTCAGTATTCCTAGTGTGGTTTTAAGGGATAGCGCCATCATTAGGAAGGATACTTACAGACTATTGGGCTATTCAGTCTGAGTAAGACCATTTTAGTCTGCGTTGAAAAGCTGGTGTGTTTTGCAAACTCACTAGCTCTGTCTTTGGTGGTTTCAGCCTTCACGTTCTGGTGAAAAGTTAGAGTATTTGTCCAGTATGCTTTTTCACAGCATGGCCATTATGTGAGGTAACAAACTCGCCTTCATTTCTCTTCTACATATCTGATACAGACTATTGCAGTGGCTTTCAAGTAAGAAAATCATCTGCTTTAAGGCAGTGATTTGCATTTGGAGGAGTGGGACTGGGAATTGAATATGTCTGCAAAGAACCACAGAGACTTAATGTGGTATTAAAATACTCACCAGCTAATGCCAAGTTTGAAGAAGTGTCTCAAAATTGTAGAGTGCTAGCAGCTGTCAGGGCTGCTTTCTTTGTTAAGTGGACAGTGTTGCACATCAGTAATCTTGATGTAGCAGAAAATCTGAGCTTTGAATTTAAAGCTACATAATATAATTCTCTCTGGACTTACAACAAGCTGTGCTTACCAACAGTATACAAAGCCAGCAGTGCTGAAACAGTTCCAGTCCCACACCTGTTTTATATCTTCAGGCTTGGATAAATCAAAGGTTTGAGTCTTGAAGTTAGTGTCTGTGATCTAGAGAAATCATACTTGCGTCAACAGTGCTTTGGAAATGAAGGTCCATTTAGGAGGATTTTTATGTGAACTGTGTGCCATTTGTTATACTTAACTACAAGGGCAGGAATAAGGTGCTTTGCTGTTAACGGTCAGTGAAATGTTTTCATGTAAAGTTCGTGTAAAATTCAGTTCACACAGTGAGTCAAAATTCTATGTTTATACCTTGTCTGTTTAAATTTAGGGTTATGTACTTTATGACTCTGTATACACTATGAATTATTCACTTACACTAATAAAAAGTACATTTGCAGAAATCAAAGCAAGAACCTTATCTGTATGGTAAAACTACAGCTTCCCTGCTGTTCCTTGTTCTGGGCAATAGTGGTCAGTCTGTATTGCAGAGAAACTCTAGTACCTTTTTGGCTACTGCCATCTTTCTGCTCTCCTTATCTTTAATGTTTTTCACCTTTGTCTTTTTGAGTTGTCATCTTTCTTTCCTTCTATTTCCTTCTCTGACAGCTTAATTTTTCTGAGCCTGCTTGGCTTCACCGTCATCTTTTTCTCTTCATTGCCACAGTTGAAGATTTCTAAATCTTCTTACTCCCAGGCTATTTGTCTGTAGTCTGGGGCTAGAATGGTTTTGTTGTGAAATGCATTTCCTTGGACGTCCAGAAATTCTAGTTTGTATCTTATCTCAAACAGTGGCCACCGGGCTGTTACGTTACTCTAGAGTGAAAGGTGGTGAAACCTGGCCCCCTCCAGCCTCTGCAACTGCCTGGTCCTAACCACTAATGGGATCAGGGACCAGTGGGGTTGTCCCTGAGGGATTGTGAGAAGCTGGGATCAGTGATTATTTTTTTTTTTTTTTTTATTATTTTATTTTATCCCCCCTCCGACTCTGTGCAAACCCTAGTTGTTATTTTCTTGTTTGAAACTTCAGCTTTGTAGTGAGGACACCTTGAAAACAATATATTTGCTTTTACTTAAGGGTCACACTATAGTGGTGCTATAAATAACGTGAAGTTCCTCTTATCGTAACTTTGTGATGTATGTATGTATGTGGCTAAAACAAGTTGTTTTAAAACCCTAATCACCTTTTGTAAATTTGCATCTTTCTTTTGTATTCAGCTCTCTGTAGTAGCTATAGGAATTAGCATCTATAGGACTTCAACTGTTGATATGCTCCTGAAGAAGCTGCTGGAAGATCAGAACTCATTTCCCAATTTTGAACCTTTGGCGTATTGGCAAATGCAGTTCAACAACATTGCTGCAGTCACTGTGTTTTTTGTCTGGATTAAGGTAACTCCGAGACACGCATCCTTGTTGTAACACTAGAATGTAAGCAGTATTCTGAGTTTTGAGGTTTAGTTATGTTTCTCCTAAAACTGGTCATGCAGGAAGTCAGAGCACAGGCGTAACTTCTTGCAGATTAAAAGCAAGGTTGTAACTTGCCACAGGTTTAGTCAGCCCTTGTTTAAGTCTAGAAGATGGAGGCAGTGCTGGTGCTTTGTCACAGCAGACGCATAAAGAAATGTTTTCATTATTCCTGAATTGGTAAGTCAGTAATTCTTACAGGGTACTGCTTTTTCCTAGCCTGGTTTAACTGTGCCCATTTTATCTATTCAAAACTTCTGAATTGTTAGAAGGTTTGGTGAAGCTAGTTCAATTCATTTGAAAACAGGATATATTACTTTAGTTAAGTTTAACTTCTTTCTTTTACTGCCTCCTTTCTACTGATAGTTCTTTTCATGTCCATACTCATTTTCCTGTCCTCTGTATGTATAAAGTTGCAGGAACTTTTAGTTAATAAACTGTCTAATGGGGGAAAAATGTAAGATCAATGATAAGTGAATTTCCACTCTGATACTCCAAACTGATACCTAGGTGTTTCAAGCAAGTTAGCTAATCTCTTACTGGTTTGTAAGACAAGGTTGCATCTACTTAGTGCATCATGGGGTAAGAAATAAAGTGGCTCATTATAAGAAATAAAGGTAAACTGCAGAGTAACAGAATAATGCAGGTTGGAGAGGACCTCTCTCTAGTCCAACCACCTGCTGAGAGCAAAATCAGCTGTGAGATCTTTTCTTGCATTTTACGACTTCGTAGCTAATATCTTCATTGAAGAAAAAGAGAAATAAATAGGCTTTTGGAAGTGTTTCTGTAACAATGCTCTGAAGCCAGGGTGCCAAATAGAGGAGTGAAAAAACAAACAAACGTACAACCCCACACCCAAACAAGAAGTTGGCATTCTCACAGAATTTTCTTCACATTTCAAGCCTCGGTGGTTTTAGGAAGTGATGTTTTTCTAAGTGTAAATTAACTGACTTTGTCTCCAGTCAAATTCAGTAAGATGTCATTTGTAAAAGTTTGGAGAGTGATTGTGTTAAGGAATTTTTGTTTTCCTTATCTTTACAGTTGTGTTTTTTTTTTTTCTTTTAACAGCTTTTCAAATTTGTTAACTTCAACAGAACAATGAGTCAGTTATCCACTACCATGTCTCGCTGTGTCAAAGATGTTATTGGCTTTGCTATTATGTTTTTTATTATTTTCTTAGCATATGCTCAGTTGGCCTATCTGGTCTTTGGCACTCAAATCGATGACTTCAGCACTTTCCAGGACTGCATGTAAGTACAAGAATAAAAAATGCAGAGAATTTCTCAGTACACTGGTAAAGGGATTTGGTTGCTCCATCAAAGACCAGACAAGTCCTATGACATCCATCTAAACAGATAAGATGCAGATGTATCACTGTTGATGTAGCTCAGTAGCATATGCATTTTTTTGATAACATTTTGATTCAAAAGTCATCTTTGCTGTGAGATTAAAAATATACTATAGTTAAATCGGTGAGCTAAAAATGGCAGGTTTTGGTTGGTGGAAGTGACATGAGTTTTATAACAATTGGTCACGTTCCTAGACAAAGCAGTAATTCTATTCAGCAGCTGAATGATTATGTGCTAACTTATGTTTGTAATGCTTACTGACATATTGTATGCATAATAATGCTGTGTTCCAGGTAGTATGTATAGTTGGTTGACTTACAAACAGTGTGTGTTTTAGCCAACTAGTAAATTTGTAAGTATCTGGTAAAATGCAGGAGAGAGATAGGACTTAACGTAAGGTTGTTAATCAGTTTTTCCTGTATTGATTTGTTACCACATAACCTGATTCTAACTGAGGTAATTGCGAAGCTGTTCAGTTATCGATTTCTCCCTGGTGGCTTAAAGTGGGGCAGTGTTGCAAAAAGTTTCTTGTAGAGAAGTGGAGGAACTTGAAATATGCTGATGGTGCTGTGCAGTGCCAAGGTTTTTGCAGCCTTGGTGCTTCACAGACAGCTTTAGAGGGAGAGGGGCTGGGGTAGTACGTATGTGAGAGGCAGGAGGGATGGGAGTGGGTCTTAAAACTTCACAATGGTAATCATTGGTTTACTCTGCTTCCTGTTGCCCCCTTTATCAGTTCTGACTGTAAGCCAGAAGTAACCACCCTAGTTTTGTTCTCTGTGTGTGGCATCTGACTGTAGGTTTGGTTATCCTTAGAGATGGGCTTGAGGAATTGACTATTGTAGTGCTTGATAAAGTATTATGGTAGCGCAGAGTGCTCTGCTGCCCATGAGTTAGACTGTTAGGGTATAATAAATTGAGAATTCTTGCACAGCTCCATAAGTGGTCTTTTTCAACTCCTGGATGTTTTTTGTTTTTTAAGATTTACTCAGTTCCGCATCATTTTGGGAGACTTCAACTTCACAGAGGTTGAAGAAGCTAATCGAATTTTGGGACCAATTTATTTCACTACATTTGTGTTCTTTATGTTCTTCATTCTTTTGGTATGTACGCCTTTGTTTATGTGGGGTGGGTAGGTGGCTGATTTTGCATCTCATGTTCTTGATTTCTACTGTTATTTGGGGCTTTTTTTTGATAATGGTGAGCGTGCAGTACATGTAGGAGCCTGACTGTTATGTGGCTGGCACTACAGTCTTTCGTTTTTTCTTCATTTAAAGTAGGTTTGCTTTGTATGTTTGCTGCCATTCCCATATGGTTCTCCACATTGGTTTGGGTTTTTTTTAATTTATATTGTTTTATTATTATAAAGAATTTTTTCTTTCTAAAATCTGAATAGTGCCTGGTTGGCATACACAGCAAGCCCCTTATCTTTTTGGTGAAAAGTAGCTGTACTGTTCCATACAGGCTCCTGGTTTATAAAGCGCTCTAATGCGTGGCTGGCTGTGTTTATAATAGCCTAGTTGATGCATGCAACGCACAGCTTGTCTGCTAGAAGAGCCTAATTCATCAGCAGTGCAGCAGCTTTTGCAGGTTTGCCTGCAAAAGCCTCTTTTCTATTGTCTTCCTTCTTCAGGGCAGAGTTGAGCCCTGTCTTTCTCACCTTCCCAGTGCAGATTACCTGTACGCTTTTTGACAAATAGTATTATAAAAAGCTCAGCTTATCTGAGAGGCAGTACGTAGACATGATTATCTTTCACTGGAACAGGTTGCCCAGAGAGGCTGTTGAGGCCCCATCCCTGGAGGTGTTCAAGGCCAGGCTGGATGTGGCCTTGGGCAACCTGGTCTAGTCAGAGGTGTCCCTGCCCATGGCAGGGGGGGTTGGAACTTGATGATCTTTAAGGTCCTTTCCAACCTAAACCATTCTATGATTCTATGATTCTAAAAATAAATTCAAACAGTGAGTAGTATATTGTGAGGTAGTACTTATCTTTTGTATACTCTCTGTTAATACTACTATTGAATTAATATTACGGTCTTACTAATAATTTATATAATAAAGTGGAGGGAGGAGACCTCTCTTTTAGAAAAGTAGGAGAACAAGTAAATTAATTTTTTTTCGCCCCAGTATCTTCTACCTGGATGTAGTTTTCAGTTAGTTTGGTGCTAACATTATAGTAATTTTGTTTCTGATGGTATCACCAGACAGAAGCTGGTATGTGAGCAAGAAATCCTCAGATTATTCCCCAAACTGTGTGTTTTTGTGATTTTGGTGGTTTGATAAAGGTGGCAAGCAGGATTTTACTAACCTTAAAATAGTATAGCAGTCCTGTATCATCATAACTTTTAGAGTTATGTAATGAGGCTTTTTATTATTCTCTGAGATGAGGAGAAATGGCATTCAGATATTATCTGTGGGAGAAGACTCCATCTTGGCTCTTCACTAGTAAGAAAGTGGAGAATTTGAAGTGTTCAGTGAGACGGACTGATGGTCGATCGGAAAATAACATATGGGTCACTCTGACCAAAGAAGCACATGATGCAGGTTTCATACTTGTTTTATAGCACCCCACAAAATCCAGATGAGCAGAGGCTGGTGTCCAGCAAGGGAAAGAAAAATTTTTTTCTAAGGGGTAGCAGAAAAGCACTGGAGTGTAGGGGCAGAGCAGGTTATCCAGAATACTTGCTATAATTTGTGTGCTTATTAATATCTGCATATCCTGTCATTTGGCTGGAATGAAATGTTGCTGTAAGTTCCTTGAGATCAGTCTGAGACCTGGAAACTAAGTTAGGGAAGGTGGGCAGAAAGCACCAACTCTTAGTGTTGGGTAGCTGAAAGCAAAATAGACAGTAGTCAAGTTACCTCTTATTTCTCTGATGTTGGGCAAGAATGCATAAAGGTATGGCATTGGAAGATTGTTCTCCTAAAGCATTTTTTTAAGTCCATGAGGAAATAAGAGGTTAACACTGCCTTTCTGCATGAGAGTGACACATTGAACATGCCACTAAGTTGAGTAATTCTTTTTGAAGTTGCATGTCCAGCTTGCAATTCAGTCATGTTTACTCCATGTTCAGCTTTTTTTTTGAAGTGACAGCATGGCTCAAGTAAATTATATGCTTGGCACAGGGCTGGTGAGACCAATTTCTTCCCTTTTGTCTGGACAAGTGACTGAACTCTTTTCAGAGTTGGTGGCCTACATGCCAAGTGTCTGATTTTAGGCTTTTTTGGTTTTATCTTTAGTCTGAAATGCAAGCAGAGCTGTAACTATATAAGAACTTCGTGCTTGTGCTGATTATTACAGGTTGAACAGTTAACTTGATTCCTCAGGCATTTTTGTTGCCAGCTCTGTTGCTTAGATTAATTCACAGTTGTTATCTGTGTAAGTTTGGCCTTACAGATAGAAGGCCAAACTTAAACATAAAATGTTAAACAGGCATGGTTTATTGCCACTGTTGTGTGTAGGCATGAACCCTCTCTGGAAAGTAATTCTCCAGTCACGTTAGTAAACAGTAGTCTTGATTAAAAGTTGCTATACTGCAGTGCATCGTATTTCAGTATCTCAAGCTCTTGATGTTAGTGTTTATTAAACAGCCTACCACTTTCTCCTGGCCCTTTTTAAAAAAAAATCATGTATAGGTCTGCACATGAAGGTCATAAGACTAGTAGGGCTCAGACTTGTAATTTCAACAAGTCTGAGCCTTGTCAAATGGGCTTTTTCATTTCTCTCATAAACAGAACATGTTTTTGGCCATTATCAATGATACATACTCTGAAGTCAAATCAGATATGGCACAACAGAAGGCAGAAATGGAACTGTCTGACCTTATCAGAAAGGTAAAAGTAACGTTTTATTTGTTTGACACCTCATTCCTCACATCTGAACATAAAATGCTATATAAACCATACAAAGCACAACTGGCAACAGCTCATAAAAATACACATCTCTTATTTAAAATAAGTGGATCTGAGCTGAGTGTAAATTAAATAAATGAAAAAGTATTTTAGTAATCTGAGACTTTGCATTGAATGATCAGCCTGCTGAATATGGCATAGTATTTGTCTGTCTAGTTACGTACAGAAATATTGAACTGATGAAGCTAAACTACGACTTGGTTTGGTCACAGAATTCAGAATTACCTCATTTCAGGCAATAAGATGAGGCAAGTCTTGGATAATGCATTAGGAGCCAGAAAGTTTTGCCTGTTTTATCAGCATTATTTAAAATTGTCACTTAGCTGTCAGTAACTGCCAAAGGTGTCTTACTGGGACAAAATATTCCATTTGTACTGGCCTGCAGTGCAAATTGATTGATGAAAGCCTTAACCTCTAACTGCAAAGATATTTGTGTGTTGCCCATTTAAACACTGAAATAAAAAATGGGCAAACTGGAGGAAGAGACAGATTCTTGCAGGGCTTTTGAAACACACTGAATGATAGTGTACACTAGCTGATTTTTGTAATCAAAAAAGTTATTGGAAATAAAGTGTTAACATTTCACGACAAGTAAAACATGAAATACCACTTTTTCCTTTAGGGCTACAACAAAGCCATGATCAAACTAAAGTTGAGGAAAACAACTGTTGATGACATTTCAGAAAGTCTGAGACAAGGTGGGGGAAAACTAAATTTTGATGAACTCCGGCAAGATCTAAAAGGGTAAGGAAGCGGTTACTTCTTGCCTTGAATAGTATCCCCAGAGACAAGTGGTGTTAAGTCTTTGATGCAAGTTCCTCTCACTTCTGTGATGTAACAAGAGTACGCTAACATGAATAAAGATAACACAGTAGAGTACTTTTCTTTTGGTTAGTGGGTAACAAAGCATGTCCTTTTCCTCTGTCTGGTGGGCCGTTTATGGAAACAGATGTGTATAGGTAAACAGTTTTTGCATATATGTCTGTGGGCATTGCACAAAGGAACATTCAAGCTTGTAGCATGGGACTGTGGATGAAGAGACAAGAGTGGGAAAAGAATGGTCAGTTTGAGGTGGAAGAGAAGTCTTAACTAAGGTGGTCTGCTGAGCTCTGGCCCCTGGCGTCTGCACTATGGCTAGTGTTGCTGCAGTGGGCCAGCATCCCACATCAGAGCAAGGATTTGGTGCTCTGGGGCCCAGCCTCGTTGAGTTGCTGTGTTGTGGGGGAGGAAAGGTCTGAGGAAGCAGAGATCTAAGGCCTTTGAGGAAACAGCAATGTTTCTGTCAGAGCCACTGAAGGAGTTTGTGAACAGGCAGGAGCCCAAAGAAAGGGAACAAATCAAGGAGATGCAAAAGGGGTGGTTGTGAAGCAGCAGGGTGCAGGCTAGGGGAGATTTGTGCTATTAACTAATGAAAGGTGAGGGCTGAGCTTTTTGTTACCAGTGTTGTGAATTTATAGGCAGCACTGGGTTCAGTCATGTCTTTGGCTTGGGGATTAAAGTCTATTCAGAGTGAAGTGTTTTTCTAATACTTGAAGTTTGTTCAGCATCTGAAAACTGGAAAGAAAGGGAACTGTTCTTACTGCCTTTTCAGGAAGGGGCACACAGATGCAGAGATTGAAGCAATATTTACCAAATATGACCAGGATGGGGACCAGGAATTGACAGAGCATGAACATCAGCAGATGAGAGATGACCTGGAGAAAGAGAGGGTGAGCTCAGCATTAGGAGTGGTATGCCACCAGCACCATCTGCCAGTCTTCTCCCCATGCTGGTTTGCTGCCCCACAAGAATCCTTTTGTTTCCCTTCACGCTTGCACTCATCCCTGGCTGTCTGAGCAGAACTGTAAAAAGGCAAAGGGGAGCTTATGGAAGGCAAGAGATCTTAGACCTTGACACCTCAATCTCTTGTGTACAAGTGAAATTCTTTACATCTTCTATGTCTGTGGCTTGTGTTTTCATAAAGGAGGATCTGGACCTGGATAGGAGCTCTCTGCCACGTCCTCTGAGCAGCCGCAGCTTCCCTCGGAGCTTGGATGACTCCGAGGAAGATGAGGATGAAGACAGTGGACACAGCTCCAGGAGGAGGGGCAGCAGCTCTAGTGGGGTTTCCTATGAAGAGTTCCAAGTGTAAGTTTATCCTTCTGAGGGGGGATGAATCTGCATGGTGGTGTCGTCTTTTTTTTTTTTTTTTTAACCCCTTGTGGGTTTTCTTCTTTCAGTTATACAGCAGTCTCTCCTATAATTCTGATTATTAATCAAATTATTCATAAAAGTAAATGTTATGTTGTTAAGGTGCTTCAGTCACTCCTTTTAGTAGCTTTCAAGTAATATCTGAACTGGAAGTACTTTAGAGAGGTTCATGGGAATCAGTTAGAAGACAAAAAATAAATTAAAAAAACCAAACAAAACCCAACAAAAAAGTCGCTGTCCTTAAAACCTGATCATTGAAAAGACGGAGAAAATAGTCATGCTACAATAATACAAGAAGACTTTTTTCTGTTTTTTTTTCAGTAGTAAAATATTGAGGTTGTTTTAGGTTCTGTGAGAACTTCAGCTGTTGGTTTTAGTATGATTAAGTTACTTGTGAGAGTGTATTTTGTCTAAAATCATAGATCTCAATATTAATTAACTATAAGAACAGTAGCTGAATGAAGAATTTGAGTAACTAGAACCAACAAATTTTGATGAGGATGCCCTAAAAGCAGGGAAAAGAGAGTGGATTATGTACTTTGTTTCCCATCTGCGTTACCTCTTCTTGGTCTTGTGTACTTTGTTCCTTCCTGGACAGTAGGAGTCATTTGTGGAAAGTCAGATGCGTGCCTGAATTAAAATGCTGTCTCATCCTTATCTGCTTTGTGTGTTGACGTGCTAGAATGACGCTGACTTAGAAATGTCAGTCACTGAAGCTCATGCTTGTTGCCTTCAGACTCATGAGGCGGGTCGATCGCATGGAGCATTCTATCGGCAGTATTGTCTCCAAGATTGATGCAGTTATTGTGAAGCTGGAAGCAATGGAGAGAGCCAAACTAAAAAGGAGAGATGTGTTGGGAAGACTGTTAGATGGAGTGACAGAGGTAAGAAACCCACCCTCTCTTGTCTGGTGACTATCTGCATGGCTTACCATTGGCACCTCTTCCTACTGCTTGGCTTGGGAAGGTTGAAGGAGTGGTGGTAAAGATAAGGTGGGTGCTTTGGCAGTGGCCAATGGATTTCAGTTTTGTGTTAGGAAAACATGAAATTTAAAACGTGAAATGTTAGGGACGTGATGCAAGTTTCAGATATGACAACCCATCTTATAGCAGGCCTGTGTCATGCTGAGGCAACAGAGCACCATTTAAACCCCTGAACCGGACAGCAATGGTGTTCAGTAGTTGAAGCAGCTGAAGCGTCTTGTTCATCCCTTGGTGTCTGTTGGGATTAATACAAAGCTTTTTATGGACTAGTCTGTTAGAATCTGGGGCATGCAGCCCAGCAGCCCCATGCACCCAGCTCTTCTCCCATGTTGCTTTTGGGATTGTGTGTGGTGGGTGGAAGCGCGTCACTTCTGTCAGCAGGGTTATCTAGATTCTATTACCTCCCCTTCCACCTTCTCTTTCTTGAGGGCCCTTTGGAAGTGGCCAGCGGGACAAACGTGTTATTTATGTGGACACTAAAAACCCGTCAGCTTCCCGATGGAGCAAGAACAGCCAGAACAGGGCTGTTAAGGGGTGGGTGAGATGGACTGTCTTGGTGGGTTACATAGGTCAGGCTTGCAGCTGCCCTGTCACAGATATGGTGTTCCTGGCTGTTACTGTTGTTACAGCCAATAATTCTGCTTGATTCTTGAGATGGGGCTTCCTTGTGGGTGTGCTCTCCTCAATATATTTTACATTTCTGGATATGGATTTAAATATTAGAAACTGTAGTACAAATTGTTCTTTCATAAGTGAAGGTGACAAACTGGGCATTACTTCACTGGAAAGAAAAGAATTTACTACAGTAGCTGTGTTTCTCCACTAGCCTATGGAAGTACTTGAGTGGTGTAACAATTTCCCATGTTTGTATAGATTTTGCTTAGACTACAGTTGGGAAGCTGCGCTTCCAGCTTGTGTCTTTTAATCTGTTTAGGATGAAAGACTGGGTCGTGACAATGAAATCCACAGGGAACAAATGGAGCGACTTGTGCGAGAGGAGTTGGAGCGATGGGAATCGGATGATACAGCATCCCAAATGAGCCATCGGTTGGGAACACCACTTGGACTGAACGGACAGCCTCGTTCAAGGAACTCTCGGCCATCTTCCTCCCAGTCAGATGGTATCGATGGGGGAGGAGGAAATGGGGGGAATAACGTCCATGTGTAGGATTAACTTTCTAGGTGATTCTAAATATTTCAGGGCAGTATTAAGCCAGCAAATACACTACTCCGCTGTTTCCCAGCATGAGGTGATCATCCAGATCAGACTGCTAAGGACAATTTTTGCTGGTGGGCCAAAGCAAATATTCTCTTCATAAGGCATTTTCAGACCTATGCAAGCCATGTGTCACGTTCACGTTACCAGCAGTGAGACTGTCAGCCTTGGAAACGAAAATGCAGGAAACGGAATGGAAACCAGGTGTGACAAAATCTACCTGGACAGAATTTTGGTTTCATACGCGTATTATGGGGAATGCTTTCATGAGGGAAGCAAGCTTCAGATGAAATAATGTGCTGTGGCTAAAGCACTCAAATGAAAGGCTGCAAGTTTTCTGTTTTCTATGGGAAAATATGATTTTTTAAGACTTGATTGAAAGCTTTTGGACCTTAGAAACCTTCCTGAAGAAGGCTTTTCTGTGTTGAACTGGCATTTCTGACTTTAAACAAACAGACCAAAAAATATGAGCTGTACACATGGCCAGCTGGTGTGCAAGTAAAATAGAAAACACAATATGAAGCAGTTTAAATATACATAGCCTTGCCTTTATGTTTGTATCCAAAATGTGTAGTGTGTTGTTATGTGCAATGATTTACAGCTTAAACTTTGAGGCATGCTAACTAATTACATGTGTGTAACATGTAACTGATGTTGGGTTTCGAGGGTCAAGGGCTACCTAAATGCTAAGACAGTATTGAAGTAATCATGTACTTAAAATCAATGACTTGCCAAATGACCCAACTTGACTTATGCAGCAATCAGCTGGAACCTTACTAAGAATACCTTGTGTTTAAGGTTTGTGCCTGTGGCCTGTAAAGCATGTGGCATGCTGAGGTTTATGGTAGCAGGGACTGGGAAGTGTGCAGAAGTGATCTAGTGGTCATCTGTTGGTGAGGCAGGGCCTTCCTGAAGGGAACAAAAGCAAAACTAAACCTATCGCTATGGGTTTTAAATAGATTTCCTGTAAAAAGGTATCTTTCAAAATGTAAATTCAATCATGCAGTTCATCTTTTATTTGTAGTATATGATTATTACGAAAATGTTTGCATTCATAGCTGTATTTGTTGAGGTATATTTCTGTAACGTGTCGTTACTTAATAACAAACTTCATCTTGAAGTGCAGTAAGTTTTCATGGGGTACCCGTGTGTGTTGACAATAGGCCTTGCAGTAAGTGCATGGCCACTTGACAAATGTTACAAACATTTTATTATTTCATTAGATTATAATATCATTTGTCACTTATTACAAAGGTAAAGTTTTTGCATAATAATGTACAGTGTTTGGTCTTATTAGGCAGCTGTTAATTATGCAAGTCTTCTACAATGATCAAGAATTTATTGATCTGTAAAACTGAGCACTTTACTTCCTAATAAACATTTTATATACTCTATAAAGCAAACATATGCTCAGTTTGTTTATAACGGAATGTTAAGAACCCTACATTTTATTCGTGTGTTACTTCTCTCTCGTACCTTATTCTCAGGTTACCTAATAATGTAAAAAGGGAGTCCAGGGTGTAAACGAACAGAGAGGACTGGGCTGATCCTACTGCTTCATTGCCCAAACAGTACTTTTTAACACTTTATTTCCCGTTTGCGTTTGTGCAAATGCGTAAGTCTTTTCTGCTATTTCAGGTGGCAGCTCTGACTGCTAGTAACACTGTGTCCCTTTATTACTTCACAGTTGCTGCGTAAGTTAACTTCTCTACTCTCTCTGTTCCCCTTTATTTTTTCCCTTTGTTTCAGGGAATCTTACAGCATTTGGAGGGTTGAATAGTCGTTGGAAATCCCAGGCACACATATAAGCCCCATAGTTCTGTCTGGGAAGCTATCTCACCAGGTCAAAAGTATAGCATATTAATGAAAATTGAATGCTTAATGTAAATCCATCTTAGTATTTCATGAAATACATACATACTGAGTTTATTAAGTATATTGAGCCTTTAGCCAGTGTGCTGTAATAGTCGCAGTGTGTGGGAACTGGGAACCGGGAACCTTTTTTTTTATTTAATACCGCACATACGCTGTAGTGTTGCTGACTTCTGAAAATTTCCTCAGGAGGAGCAGTTTGGGATGCAGGTTTGGAATAAGAGCCACATAATTCTTCCATATCCCATGGGCATCACTTGGGTACCTTGTGTATGCAAATACTCTTATCCAGTACATCTAAACAAGAAAAAAAAACTGAGAAAAAGGGAAGAAAGTTAAAGTTATGATAAAAAATTTGCAAGCAATTGTTACTTGTATATTTAGTCACCAATGGGGCTTTGTAGGTTCCCTGCTTACATAGACCATGAAGTGTGAGCAGAGAGGCTGGCAATTGGAAGCGGAGGAGTCCTTCTCCCGAGTCTGTTCCACAGCAGCCTTCAGCAGAAGGTTTATGCTGTTTGTGTCCCTGGCCCCTCCCCATACGGCATCTCTGGTCCTGCTGGGATCTGCAGGGCAGCGACAACCCCCAGGAAGCACAGGCTACTTGGTGGTGGGAAGATACGTAAGCAGCACTGCTTTCAAGAGGGAAGGCAAAGCCTAATATTTCAGAGACACTGAAGTTGTGTCAGTCTCTTCTCTGAACTGAATTGCTGAAATTCTGATGCTTGCAAACCGTTCTTCCCTTCCTGCACACAAACGGAATTCAGAAGCGCAGTTGTCTTCTGTTCTGCTAAGAAAGTTTTTTAGTAGTAACTCAGATTATGCCCTGTTTTTACCTAAAAGACGCGGTGGATGGCTGGAAGAAAAATAAGCTCTCAATTGCTAGCAGACAAATTATGAAGTATTATTTACTAAAGCATGCTAAATAGAAGAAAACATTACTGCTATATACCCCTTTGGTAAGAGTGTAGTTTGTGTTCTAGGTCTTCAAGAAAAGATATTTCAAAAGAAAAGAAATAGCTTGCAAAACAATCTAGTCTTCTACAGTGCAGAAATACAAAAAAGCTGTCAAAACTTTTTTCCCCTTTGTGGAATCTTAACAAAAATAGCAGCTGGTGTTCTGACTTGTTTTCAGGAACGTAGGAGGGCATTAGAAGATTTCTGATTTCGTGGTAAGTCTGTGTACCTCCTGTGCCATAATCGTCCTTCCAGGTTTTAAGCACTGAACATGCAAAACAGGTACAGAAAGGCAGAGGGACAGCTTAATGGTTCAGGTGGTAGACTGACATTCAAAAGAGTTATCTCGCTTTTATATGTGTCGCCTCACCCTGATGCATTAATGCACAAATTCAGCTGGTCCCAGCTTGGTTCAAAGGACCGTTACAAACACGTTGGTGCTTAAGTGTCAGTAATGTTAAAACAGCCGTGGGATCACAAGCAATTTTTCCTTGGACTGGAGATTTCTGGCAGCTCTTCTGCTTTACTTCTACTCTTAAAAACTACTCGGGGAGACTGAAACTGTGTCCCAGGAAGTGAAGAGCAGGCCTGAAGACCGCAAACCTGTGCCTTTTGTAACTGACCTGGATTTGGACTTGGTGTGAGAGCAGCTTTCCTGCAGCCGGCTGTTCAGGTATGTTGGAGCAGGCCTACCAGCGGCGGGATGCTAGGAAGAGAGCAAGAACGTTTTTGAGACTCAGGGAGTATATGGGGTTTGTGTGGCTCCCAAGAAGTTATTAGTAGTAAATGCAATACTTAGATTGCCAAAGGACTGATGGTGACATTTTGACAAAAGTTTAGAGCAGCAAATTCATTCATTTGCAAAGCCTTAAAATGAGTAAAAATAGGCTAGCAGATATCCACAGGGACTAAATGTTTATTTAAAGACAATTCACACAAAACAAATCAACAATATTAAACTGTTATAGAGCAAGAATCTGTTTAACTGCTGTCCAGTGTTTGAGATTTCAACATTTGAAAAAAATGCTTGCACTGAGAAGAGTTGAGCTTTGTTTTCAGGTAAGTCACATTTAAGGTGTTTTCGAAATACTCTTCTAACAGTGCCATGACTGCCTGTGTGTGCCTGCACAGGCTGCTGCTTTTCACTGTTGCACAGAGAGCGGTACAATGAAAACTCAAAGGAACACTAAAAAAAACCCTGCTCCTTTCAGGCTAAACTTGCAACTACCAGTTCATCCCAACGTCTGAGGTAAGCACGCTTTTGTACGGCTATCAGCTTTTCCTGCAGCTGAGATGGACACTGCAGGACCGAGTTCCCCGACTCCCCGGTTACAGATAGCTGTACACTGAGAGATGCAGTTGTGAGAAACCTTCAGCTGCAGGAAGGCAAATCTGGCGAGCGTTGGAGGCTCCTCAGCATTTAGCTGTGAGCTGCTAGGGGCCACTGCTGCAGACCTGGAGGAACAACCGACTCCAGCCAGCACCATGGCCGGGGCTTCTGGCCAGTCTCCTTCCCCAGTGGGCAGCACCCAGCCTCTTCACTCCCTCCCTGCCATCTCCTGGCACAGGAGGAGACGGCCCCAGGTCTGAAAAGCTCTCAGCTGAAGTAGGTTTTCATATTTATCACATAGAAAATGCATACAGCTGTTGTGGTTTTAAAGCCGTTATATGTTACAGAGCTTGGAATACTGTTACCGCAAAGATACTCGCCTTGCTTGGCCAATTTGTCCTGCTAAGCCAGGTAAATCTTAGTAGAAGGAGATTTCTTTAGCAGGAATTCCTTTCCCAATATGACCCATTTCATCATGGTAACGCTTATCAAGGACTGAGGTGGATTTACCATGCCATGACTTTAGAAACTTGAGCACAGAGAGTTTTCCTAAAACTTTGACTCTTCTCACCCTTTTTCTAAACAGGCAGCAAGTCCCCTTGCAAGAATCCCCAACTTCCATTTCAGAAAAATGATTGCTTTGTCATTGCGACCCCAAGAGAGCAGGCAAGGAATACTTCCATGAGTCATGCATTTCTTCTGGTAAGAAAGTTGTTTCTTTCAATGTTCTTATGATTTTAGGGCTATGTAATAAAGGCCAGTTGGGTTTCTTGGCTTAGTGATTTAAAACAAT